CCCCCCATTCCTCCTCTCAGCATTTCCACCTCTCTGCCCCAATTATTAGATCTGGCCTATAAATAAATGCCTGAGCTGTCACACAGGCAAATGGAGCTGCCAACATGGGAACTGGTGGCAGGGAGCTGAAAGGAGGGAGGCAAGCCAAAGGAATAGCAATAAGCAATTGTTGCCAAGGTAGGAGAAACAATGAAGGCAAAGCAGGTAAAGTCAGACAGCTTGACACACTGACAGCAGCTCAGATAGACAGGTAGGCAGACCAGCAAACAGAAAGATAGTCAAACATTTCTCAGAACAGTCAGACATTTCTCTGTGCGACTGGCCCCAGGCCTCAGGTATAGTAGGTAAAAGGGGAAAGGTGGACCAGTGAACCAGAATATTCATCACTCTCAGTAGAGAGAGAATAAGAGAGAAAACAACATCAGCAAGATGCAGAGGGAGAAAAATACCAAATTTTTCTCCACAGAGCATCATTAGAAATAATCAAGTTTAAATGCTTTGATTTGAAAAACAAGTGACTTTGTGAGCGAGTGTTGGTGTTTAGTTATTCTTAAAAAACATTTTTGTACTTCGATATTTTGAGTTATCTCCTGCTGGTTGGGGGACATTATTTGCTGTTGTATGGCAGTAAAGAATAGACGCAACAGAACAACTAATAATGCAGACAAGAAGGAGCACTGACTTTTTAGAAATAAGAAGAATAACTTTATTTGCCAAAATATGTTGTGCACGCAAGCCCACAATTTGCCCTCTGCATTTTACCCATCTGAACTTTCAAAAGCAATAGGCAGAAACCAGGGTCTAAGCCAGATGCAAGACCGAGTCATCACCAGCTCAGAACCGATGCCAACATTTACAGGTTATCCACCTCCTCAGGCATTTCATCAGCTGAAGCACCCCAGTGATACCTGTGCTTTAATGTAGGGCTACTCCTACTTGCTGCCGAAGATTATGCAAGGCTGTGGTAATTCATTTTGATTCCAGGAGTGGATTAGTTTTACATTTTTAAAAAATAGTGATACATTTTCTATATTCCAATATGTGTGTGTGTGTGTGTGTGTGTGTAGTTGGTTTAATCTGTTTCTCTGGAAAAACAGCGGCGTACGAGACGATTTGTGCTTGGAATGAATTTCCAAAATGACAAAATCGTCTTCAGACAATAGCCAATGGGTACAGAGGCTGCTCTGAAGCAGCAGGGTTGTCACATATCGAGAATTTCATGCATTAACTTAATAGGTTTCTGCCTCTGGCAAATACATTACTTACAATTTCTATATAATCATATCAGATCACAACAGCTTTATCACAAGGGTGTCTCTGAGCTAATATTATCTCCTGTGGATGCGTGTTTTTACATAAATCATAGAGCTTACAGTTACTAGTCATTGTCTCCCATGTAATTTTTTTTGCTCACATTAACCCCACCAAGCTTTTGCTTAAACAGGTTGCTATAACAGCTGCTAGTCAGCTATTAATGTAGTTGGCAACAACAATAAATATCTATATTCATTATCATTTTAGAATGCATTATGAACCACAGGTTAATTTAAAAAGTGAATAAATTAAAAGCATGAAGGACATACAAGTTCACACATGTATGTTTACATGCCTGCGCATATGTACACATGCACATTCATCGACCCTGATGTGATAGTTTGAGGGTTTTAAAGCAACATTATGTAAAAAAAAAAAATAATTGTGCAATTGGGCACTCCTACTCCTTACATTACGATCAAAATCTAGCAACAACTTTGCTAACACAGCCAACATCAAGCAAGGGTGACGACACAAGACACAGCAAACCAGATATTTTACTTGCTAGTCCAACAGAAAGAATATCAGCTCAGCGTCTGTCTTGCAGCCTTTTACTTCACAAAGCTCTCACCAATGTCCGGGAGCCTCCTGCTTGGTTACTCTCTTTTTCTTTTCTTAGCTTCCTCTGTCAGCATCCTCTTCGGTCTCTTCACCTCTGCCATTAGCTAACATTGCGTCTGTGAAACATCTGGCTGATTTCGATTGAGTTGACAACTTTGCTAACAATGGCAGACATCAAGCAAGAGCAACAACACAAGATGTAGCAAGAGAGCTAATAAATTATTACTTACTAGTCCAACAGCAAGAAGGCCAGCTAGGCATCTTTCTTGCTTCTATTCAGTAGTTTTAGCTCATGTCAGCGAGTAAACGTTATACTCTTGTCTGGTCTCTTGCCAGTCACTCTCTCTTTTTCTCTTCCTTGTTACTTCCAACATCTTCTTTAGCCTCTTCACAGCCTCTGCCATGATATCCATACTGAGCTAGCTTCCTTCAAAGAACTTACATCGTAAATTATGTACTTTTGCTTCTTATAGCTTGCTGAAGAATTTTGTTAGTGTGATGTGGTGCCGTAAAGCATTACACCATTCTCGCAATATATATTTCCTGCCTGGGAGATCAATGTTACATAGTAACCAGGCCCTGCAGGCCAAGTGGCAACGACAGAGACACCATTATCCCCATTACAGGTCAGTGAAAATGATTTTGAAGAAGGGCTGAACAATTAATCATAATCTTATCGAAATCTCAATATGGCCTTCTGCATTTTTCAACTGACAGGAGGTGCTGTAATTGTTGAAGGCAAAATGTCTGTCAAAATTCTAATCATACTTAAGAAAACATATTAGTTTGGTACAGATCCTTGCAAAAACCACACCATAATGTTTTTCAATGTAAACGAGAATAATCATGTAAAAATGATCAGTCCCTCCTACATCACATCAATTGCAATATCAGTCAAAATAATTGCTATTAGATATTGTTTCAAAATCGTTCACCCCCATTTTGAAGCTGTTATTTTATGATAAAAATACTACATGTTGCTTTAATTGCCTGTCCTAAATCACTGGAAGCCATCCTCACTCAAGCTGCAGAGATCTGAGAGGCTGAGTGCTGGGGCGAAGCCTCTCGGGTGATAGTTAATCAGCCAGGCTGTGCTGCTCATATTTTGACATACACAGAGAAGAATGTAAATGTAAGGAGCGTAATTACATATGTTATCAAGAAGAATTTTTAAAAAGCTCCTAGAATAGATTTAATATGTAGGTGCATGCATTGACAGACGTGGCAATAACATGGAGACAGTGATTAAACATGGTTCAGGAGTTTGGAGCAGTTGAATCATGACAATGATGATGTGATTGTTACTGTATACACACAATTAAGTCACAGAAGAGATACAGTATACCAAATAAAGATATCTTTAAGCACCGTACACACACCCACATTGTAAAATGAATCACAGACTCACAGAGTGATGTGGAATAAACCATCTGTTTAGGTTAAATTAGGCGCATCATCCCATTTGAAGTGCATGGAAGAAAGAAAGGCAACAGTGATGTTTCCCTCTTGAGTGACACACACAGTTTACAGCAGGTTAACCAGAAACAAAACCATCAAGGCCACAATTTGTTCAGGCATTCACACTCTAATATTTTCACCACACTATAGAATTCAGCACCATTCCTTGCTTTTTATATGGTTTGTGACAGCATGTCCCGCTGTCTGTGTGTGTGCGTGTGTGTGTGTGCCTGCGCATGGCTTCATATCATTAGTGTTGCAAAGGCATTTGGTCAAGTGTTGCCCAAAAATGAAAGCCAATGTAGGTGATACACCATTTGGATCGATGCTGCAGAACCACAGATTTATTCCATATATTCTTCTTCCTTGTCAAAACCTATATTACCCACAATGCAACTTTCTGCAGCTAAGGTACTACTATACATTTACATTTACATTTATTCATTTAGCTGAGCTAGCTCAGCCTATAAACAGGCTTTGGGTTCCTGTTTAACTGTGGTGGCCAAATTGGCATGATAAATGTTATTTGTTTTTGTACTATAACAGACGTTTTCAAGTTTACACAATGTTTTTGTCATAGATGTGAAACACAGTATGGGTTTGCCAGTTGACTTTCAATAAATTCTAATTCTGTGAGAAAAGAAAATCTCTCATCGACAGAGCCTGCTCTGCCTTAAATTAGCTACCTACCTGTATAAAGCTATTAAAACCTTATTCTTAATTGCTGAAACAAAAAACTAAATGGTCAGTAGATTGTTTGTGTCTCCCATTAGGTTGGTTTTTGTTGTCGTCTGTGCAGTTTTTGCTTCGGGGTAACTCTCTCCATTTTCTTATTTAAACTGCATTTTTTTGTGTCACATGTTCACTCTTGATGACCAAAGGCTGTTACTGGGCTGCTACTTAGTGTGCACCCCAGAAGGATTACAGATGGTAAATTCTTCTTCTTTCTGTCACTCCGAAAGTAAAAGTGGTGCTCCAGCCCAGCCAGGGGCACAAACACAGCACGCTAACCTTCAGTTGCATAACACACTGATTACACATCTCATCCACAAAGACACTGGATAATAAGATGCTTGGCTTGGTTGGTAATATGTGGCCTGATAATCCCAAATTAAACATTGGCCCCCTAATTCAATAACAGCTCATATGTGTAATTCAATTTGAGGCTTCAGCGGAGTGGGGGAGAAATGACGACGAAAAGTAAAGACTGGCAAAGCAGAGTAGGAGTTTCTTGGGGTAGAGCAAATTATTTCTGCGAGGAATCATCATCATCATCAGTACTGGAATTCATGTGGCATTTGGCAACCAAGTCAGCATAATTAATTGATATCTCTTATTATTCCCTCCCCTCCGTTTTCCTTTTTAGAAGCTTGATCTGACTTAAACAGACTGTGAGCTGAATGTACACTAAAAGTCTCATGTGAAGACTTGGCCCTTATAAGAAGATTTGGATGTTCCTCGCTGCCTCTCCTCTCTAAAGTCTGCCCGCCACTGTCTATCTCTTCTAGAGCAGTCCTGTGAAACTGGTGAGACAGTAAAACCAAACAGAATGGCACAGCGGCACAGAAAAAGGACAGAAACAAAGAGAAAGAAGAACCAGAAGGGCAATAGAATAGAAGTGAGAATAGAATGAGCGCAACATGCAACAGATATGAGCAGATGCCTACCTGAGGTAACGCAGTGGTTCTATGGTTTCACCCTCTGCTAAGCTGTGGTTCATCTTCTCCATCTGTTTTCACCCAGGACGACTCAACAAATGTGAGAAAGGATGAGCTGTGCCGCTCCAAAGAAAACACTTCCGTTCCCTCTCTGTGACTCTGATTCAATACACACTGTCTACCTCTCTGCCTGGGAATAGACTGGCAATCTAAACGGGCTTCCTCCCTCTGTGTCTCTCTCTCTACGGCTGGTGATTGGTTCAGACGCTGGAAGGTAATTACTGGCTGCTACACACACAGTCTGAATCTTGCCTCTGTATCTCTGCCTCTCCTCTCTGTCTCTGTCTGCCACTATGGAGCCGGCTCATTCCCCAATAAAACCAGCTGGCTCTGTATATCAGCTGCGCTCACCGGGAAAGCCAGCCAATTAAGAATCAGGAGGCATGGTGCTCGCTGGCCGATTGGCTCAGGCTGCCGCGACCATAGCTGCTCAGTCATCCAGGGTGTAACCCCCCCCATACACACACACACACATACACACTTTCAATCACAGTCCTTGGTGGCAAAATGATGCCTTGATGTAGAATCTAGAGCAAGCATCAGAGTGAGGAAGCACTTGACTGATCACTGAATCACAAACAATAACACCTTTCATATGAGAGTGGGAGATAAATGAAGCCCAGTACCACAACTGAGATAATAACACTTTAGTGGGTACATAGCAGCAGTTTGTAGCTCCAGTGCAAATGGATGGGTGATATGAACAGTACCACAGTGACCCCGTGATGCATGCAGACTGATCATATGGATTTAGGGCAAACTTGAGAGGAGAAAAACAACTCATCATTGAGTCAAAATGTAATGATAATGTAATATAAATATACAGTAAAAAAACACACACACAAGCGCAAGCACACAGAGGAAGGATATGTATGGTGGGATCACGGGGAGAACCTGCAGGCTGCCAAGGAATGAAGCTTATAAGTGGGTCATGGTGATAAACAATAGCTCACTTTCTTCTATAAAGGTCTCTCTCTCTTTTTCTCTCCCTCCCTCCAGTCTGCTCGGACTTCAGAGTCCATGACTACACTTTACAGCTCAACTAACAGTTAACTTAGTTAAGTCTGTAGATCTTGTATTACAGATTAGGGTGCAAGTCTTTGTTCTTTCTGTGGCATTGCACAAATATACCTGTTAGGGAGATTAAATTTCTGTAAGGACGACTGAATACCAATAATGGAATGTGGGTTTACTCTGCCACCTGTGGGTTCTAAACTGCGAGTGCAGTTTGAAGCAAATAAGTCATTGTAGAAAAAGAGGGGCCTGACAACTACTCATAAGGGCAGAAAAGAAAGAGGGGTCCTTGAGGGAAGGCCCCAGCAAAAACAGAATTTATTTTCATTGATTTTCCAACCATAAGTAAGACAATAACAGAATGTATGACTGCTTGAGTTGTGGGATTCATACACTTTCTGTAATATGTATATGTAACATCCAAAAGCAAAATTCTTATCAAATAGGGGTGCATGGTCTAATTTGTGTCAGCTTAGGGGTCCTTGAGGTGTAAAAAAAAGTTTGAGAACTACTGCACTAGATGATGAGAAAACTGAATGTGGTTTTGTTGGTGGAAAATGCTCAGTATAAACCCAGGCTTGACAAACACGTTAAATCTACAATTATGTACCTTTGCCATTAACAGCTGAGAACAACGGCTATGGTGTCTTGCTCAATGTGTGATCAAATAAAAGGATAGGCTTACCCTTTTTTTCTGAAGTCTGTCTTTAATACTCACATGACCCTTTGTAACTTCAAAGCACTACTGGTTGCTTTAATTGTTACTCCAGTCCATTCTTGCTGTTTAGAGATAGAATAGCAATTTCAACTTGGTTTAATGGTTTGAATCCAGAAGCTTGATCCAAACCCCGGCGGCAGAATGTGAAACTTAAAATATTTGGCACACTTTGAACTTTAGCTTTAATAGCTAGATATTTTATTTTATTCAGATAACTGTCAGAATAACAGTGAATCAGTGTGAACGCAATGTCTTTCATAATTTCTTTTTGCTTCAGACTGGTGATGATGTAATGACTAGAAAGGATCCCACTTTCTGTGTACACCGACTTGAGATACAGTAGACAACGTAAGCAAAAGAAAAAGAAACCACTGTAACTATTGTTATGTAATGACACACTACGAGCTTTAGACATGAACTTGAGCTTGTTGTAACATACTGCATTACACTGGTAGCCTACATTTACTGTGTACAAGTAAAGCATGATTTCAGCCTAAATGAACAGATATACTGAACTTTAAATGTGTGTATTCACCTCCAGTGTCCCAAAGGCAAGTGAATAAATGTAACTATGATTTAGGGCTAAAACTAACAATTAATTATTCAAAGTCCTGTGTGACATTATCAAATGTTCTATCGGGCCAAGTCCAAAACCCAAATACATTCAGTTCTCAATGATATAAAACAAAGAAAAACAAAAAACCCTTGGAGAAGCTGGAACAAGACAATGTTTGGCTGTACATTATGATAAATCGATTATTTTAAGAGTTACAGATTAGTTTTCTCCCAATCAACTATTTGACCATAGTTGCAACTCTGCTGTCATGAACGAACAGGCAAACCAGCCATGAAAGAGGGGTTAAAATTAGTTTTATTATTTGATAGAGCAGGAAAAAAATCCAAAAAAAACAAACAAACATTTCTCATACATAATTTTCTTTTCCATCTGGGCTGCACTGCGTTTAGCAGAGCTTACAACCCCAAACAAACGGAATGGTGATTTTGTTGTCAAACAGCAGCAACAGGCAGTAGTCAGGACAGCACAGGGTTACACTTAGCAGGGCACAAAATGACGGGCTCATTCCAGATTGCTTATTTTGCATCCACAAGACGCGGGCTGCTACCTTCTGCCTTTCAGGAATGTACAGACAACCTGGAAGATTTCCCGATGCTACGCTGAGACAGAAATACAAAACCTTGAGAAATTTAAATTAAACTTTGTACGCTTGTATTTCCATCAGCAATACACATACTGCATTGTTGCGCCATCCTAAATGAAACCCAAATGTACAGTGATGATACCCCAATAGAGAGGGATAAACTTCAACTGATGCCCAGTTACCTAATGCAGTGCACCATCTCTCTGTATGCATGCCCGATAAGCAGTGAGCTGAAGAGTGCACTCTGGATACAGGACACAAATCCTTACAATGTCGCATTAGATGATCACATCATGGATGAATTGTGAAATTAAAAGTGAGGCAACAGGGCAGCAAGACTCCAGGTTTGTAAATGCATAGCGATGAGATAGCCATCACTATTGCTTAAATGTAAAGGTTATAACAAATATGGGACAGATGCATTACACAGAGAAAATGACTGCTGGGGTGGTCAGCCTCCTGACAGTTGGGTTTGCGTTTTTAAACATATTGCTCGTAAAACATTCAGACTTTGAAATATGCATGAACATTTTATTTTTTACTGCTTAAAAACCAACACAACTGTTGAAATATTTTTTAATTTTTAACATTTTTCCAATAGGCTACAGAAATGTCTGAGTAAAGCCATTGCTGAGCGGTCGGGCTAAATATATTGGGACCACCCCAGTGACTGAAATTAAAGACAACAGCACATGGTTTATAAACAAATTCAACGCCATGAGCAATGGGAACTCCCCTGTTTAATGTAGGACATATTGGAATTCACTAGCTTATCCTGTGCTGCTGCAACCTGATAAAAATGCGCTAGAACTCATGTGAAAGGCATAGTTAGCTCAATTTAAGGACCTGACAGAAATCATACACACCCTTAATGTTAAAGACTAAGAAGTTCATGTCATTTGTTGCTATAGGGGTTTTTGCATAACTACATTCTGAAAGCTGTCCAGCTTCTCACAGACCAATCGTAAGGTGAGTGGGGAGTCACCGGACACACAAGAGAAAACAAATCATTTTAAGTGGAGGCCCATTCAAACGTAGGGCATTAGCATATATCTTTACTAACATGACCCTATAAATAAACCCAGAGACAGTGTGTCTATAGAAGAAAAATAATGCACCACAACCTATGACTAAAAGCAAAACAATGTCAAAAATATGACATTCCTTACACCCCCTCAGTTTAGCATGAATTCATGTTTATATCCAGAGAGGGTTCAAATAAACTAGAAACCTTCTAGCAGAAGGGATTCCATTTGGGCTCCACTAGTTCTTTGGAAGGTTTTTTTTTTTGTACAATATTCAAGAAGAATAGTCCTCCAAACATATGCTCCATGTCTTTACTTGAGTAAGTGAAACCTTAATCTTTATTCTTCCTCTTCATCTTAGAAAAAACAAAGTATTTAAAAGTAGGCCACAACATGGAACCCAGCAGATGTAAAACCACCTCAACAGTAACATGAGCCTGTAAATTCAGACCTCGACAACAGGCCACTTCCAAAGTATCAGGGAGCACAATATTCGAAACACAGTATATGACTTATAGAAGAAAAGACGAAATCCTAACATTCAGCCATACAAAATAATCTGACACACATCAACTTCTCAACTATACACTGCTGTGGGTTAGAGAGAAGAGGCAGTCTGTGTGCAGATACAGATCATTTTTTACAGTCTTTTTTTGTTATTCATTTTTGCAAAGCTGAAGCAGTTATCATTTCGTGGATGGTCCTTGAAGCTCAACCACAATCCCTGTGATGAGGTCTTCAGTCAAGTTCGGTTCAGCCACCACATGGGCCTGAGTCTGATTGGATCAGAATGGAGTAGGGTAGGACATAAGGCGAATATTCTATTATGTATAAGAGTGATTATTATTTTTTTCCCTGCCTAATCCAGAAGCAGGGGAGCTCAGGGATTGTTTCCTCTTGGTGCAAACTGGGAGGTTCAGCCAATATACAGGGAGGGAGAGGCAACACCGCTGGAGACGTTTGTAAAATTGTACACGTCCATGTAAACCCTCAAAAAAACAAAAAACAAATTCTATTTGACATGTTCCTTGTATCCCAGAAGCCCAAGTTGTCACAGCACAACTCCAATTTGGGATGAAGGATTCAGGTAAGGAAGATGGTAGCAGAAATATCTGAGGAAGAGGTGAAGGAACGCCTGTATCCAACAGACTAGGCTGATTCTCCCCTGCACCATTTTAGCCAGAGGCAGAGTCCATAGAAGGGATTAGAATGATAATGAGAATGGCTGTTATTGATATTAAGAGGGGTAATAGTTATGATGTCAGTAGGGAGGAAGATTGCATTATTTCCATGTGTTGGCTGCTTGGGAGATAGAACGGGAGGGAATCATGTCCAGGAGGTACTCTCGCTGACGCTCGACAGCAGAGGTGGTCTTATGGGCAGACAAGCTGGGGTTCACATAGGCCATAGTCACA